AGCACTACCAGGAGTGACTAGAAATAATGGTCACAAGCTGGCAGAGTGTAAATTCAGATTAGACATCAGGAGGCACTACTTCACGGTCAGGGTGGCTAGGAGCTGGAACCAACTTCCAAGGGAAGTGGTGCTGGTTCCTACCCTGGGGGTCTTTAAGACAAGGCTAGATAAGCACCTTGCTGGGGTCATTTGACCCCAGTACTCTTCTCTGCCATGGCAGGGGGTTGGACTTGATGATCTGCTCAGGTCCCTTCCAGCCCTACTAACTATGAAACTATGAAACTATGAAACCACATGGCCTGGGTCAGAGCTGGAACTGTTGCTGGCACGACCCCTGCTGCCACTCCAGAAACAGCTCATCAGACTAGCCTAGATTCTTGACCTGGCACCATTTGGAAAGGACAACAGCAAGGAATGGGGATGGGAGTGGGAAGTGACACTGTTAAATGTGTGGGCAGGCTAAGGATGCTTCTCAGGCTAAGGATGCAGGAGCTCAGGAAGGACATGCCTGTCTTTCATTAACTGAAAATGACTTCAATGGTGACTTAAACTAGTGAAGTGTTAAGAATTTGGGATTATGTTCCCAGGAGCCTTAGCACCAAATACTAATAATGGCAGTGTCAGCGTAGGCACATTACGAGGATATGTGCTGTGGATAGCTCCGTATTATAGCTGGAGACTTGGTTATTTCAGCCATTAATTTCTAGAAGCCCAGAACCAGGCACATGCTGCAGGGAAGACATGCTTTTTAGTTTCAGTCAAGTGGTCAAAATGCAGAGGTTTCCAGGATGGAGAACAATTCCTATTTTCCAGGACCATGTCATTTCCCCCTTACTGTTTTCAGAGTGAAATAGAAAGATGGTTTTCAATAGCTCAGTGTGTTTTCATTTGCCACACATTTTAGGACCCATCAAATGAAAGGCCAAAGGTGAAAGCTAAAATCCTTGTCCAAAGACAGGGGAGGGGGGAGATATGAGAGAAAAAAAATAAAATAAAAGCCCAAGTTAATTCTGAAATAAATCTTTAACTTCTAAACTGCAGACCCAGGGCCCTGGATACTGTTAATGAACCATTAGCCCTGCCCTAATCACAACACTGCTTTCTTTTGTTCTCACACCCTACTGCTTTTTCTCAGCCGGAGACACGTGGACTTTCAGAAGTGACAGTGCTCTTCATGAGCATGTCTCATGCTGGTTATAATGGACACATCTGTGCTTGCAGTGTTTGTCCATCATATCCAGTGTTTGCTTTGAGCAGCACGATGGAGAGTGTGGGACAGCATGTGTGTGTATGTATATGTGAGAGCCGGGGTAAGGAGGTAGTGAGAATACAGACACTACTTAAAATCCCGCTAAGCCATTATGTTTCTCAATACTGTATTTATTGCAACTCACTTTGTAGTTAGATGAATGGGATTTTTTTAACAGAATCTTATTTCTGATTGTTTTTCCTACAGCAAATCTGCTGACTCTTTGCTAAGGGCCTTGGACAGTAAGAGCACAGGTTACCTTTGGCGTGACCTGGTAGTCTATTGAAATATGTGCAAACTTTGCCCCATTAGAAGTTGTTTAGCTATAGAACAAAAGCTACGATCTGGATTCTGCCTATGCTAGTTTTACCCCTTCCATAACTCCCATTTCAAAGGATGAACATTTCCCAATAAATATTCAGAGTTTGTCTGACGTAAGTGTCCAGGTTTTCTAAAGATGGTAGCCTCAACTTAGCTTTCATGTAGGCTCTTATCCTGCAGTGAAGTCTTTATGGGTGAATAAATGGTTCTATAAGTGATTGCCTATATGGATATCGTCTCAGAATTGGGTTTTTCCTGTGAAGGTACTCCTGATTTTATACTTCTGTAGCTAGGAGAAGAATCAAGACCCTTATCTAAAACTTGCTTTTCTTACAATCCTTGCAGCATAGAAAAAACGATGATACAGTAAAACCCTAATTAGAGAAAGGGCATAGTAAAGTGAACAATTGTCTCTTTCAGTTTCCTTGCTCTTTCATTTAAAAGAGAAATAAGAAGGGGATTTATCCTACCCTTATATATTTTAAGCATTGATCTCTCTTGTCCTGAAGCTGCATATCAGAATGACAGCATTTTACAATGATTTTGCACTCCCTTTGCAACATTATTCAAGGATTATATGAGAGGCAGAGCAACAGAGCATTTAGATCTATAGTATGAAACATAATCCAAGTTAATTTTGGTCTTCTATGCCTTCTTCTATGAACAATCATACTGTCAGAGGCATAGTTAGGCAACTCCATGCCCAGGGCAGCTGGGTGATGCCCAGAGCACACAAAACACCAGCAAACTCTCCTTACGTCTGAAGAAGAGTGTTTGTGTCCAAAAGCCTGCAAAGAACTATTTTTCCAACTATTTAGTTGGTCTAATAAAAGATATCACTCAACCTTGTCTAGTTAACATTTATTGATTTATTACTTAGTCATTATATTAGCTGGAGAAACAAGAAATACTGTAGTTAAGGTTCTGTAACTCCATTTCAACCCCTTGTTTTTGATCCCTTACAGACATCTACATTTTTCATTATTCACTCTCAAAAGTCATGTGCTTAGGTCATGCAAAAATGTTCCAACTATTCTTACAAAGGAGCAGGCAAACATTAAAAAAAATACTAGTCTCCCATTATTAAAAAAAAAAACAACTCACATACTACTTTGAGTACATCTTTCATCAAAGTTGTTAGGATAAAAGGATAAAGGGACAAATTCCTTGCTGGCATAAATGGCTGAAACTCCATTAAAGTCACTGGAGATGTGCCAATTTATACCTGCAGGAAATCTGGCTTGTAATTTGGCATTGAAATAAACTTTGTTGGGAAGAAGTGATTTGGTGAAAATTTGCTTTACTTTGACAAAGTTATGAACCTTTGGGAATAGCATTCTTATGCAATAGATTTTTCATGCATAAAATATTATATGGCCTAGTAAAGGGGGAATTTAACTGGGTAGTGAAAAGCCAAAAAGCTCTCTCCTCACAATTCTCATAAAGCAAGAAAGGATTACAAGACCAGATTGCCCACTAACTTCACAATTCACCCCCGGGAGGAGTCAGCAGCTGTGGAACAGCAGAGACCCTCTTAGTCCATCTTCTTGGGGCTTACATGTTGCAGAGATCTTATGTTGGTTCAGTATTTGAGGGAATCATTTTAGTAAGACTTGATTTAAAGACATCTTTTTAGGTAAGAGAGTCAAACTATGATAGCTATTGTTTGGTGCAAACCTTACTGTTTGTGGTTTGAGGTCTACCTGGAATATGTCTTTCCTGAGGGCAGGCTGTAGCATACAGCCTCATTTCCTCATTTCAGCTGTAGCATAATAGATTTTACTCCCCAAGAATTTGCCAAAAGTGAAATATCTTTTTCTGCCATATCCAGCATCCATGACTTTATTGACATCTGGGTTGTATCTAGCTGAACATATAGTTCTACATACATTGCAAATATGCAAAATGAAAACCTTTTTTGACTGTAAGGTAACCATGAAAGTTTAATAGTTTCATCCTTCCTCAAATACTTGGTGATGTATGAGAGTGTATCCTGGAGAACCTGCTAGCCTGCTTGTCTTCATTAGGGACAGACATTACACATAAACCAGTTTAAGTGATCAAAAACTGGTTTAAACCTGTAACAGAACAGAAGCTCAGTGCACATAAACCAGTTTGAAAATGGCTGAAACCTATTTGAGATAAACCTGGTTGAATGTAGTATCAATCTTAATTGATTTGGCTCAAGCCAGTTTATGAAATGTCTGTCTCAGACCCCTCGCTAGTTTAAGATAAATCAGACTCCCCCAACATCCTGGCATGCTCTCTGGGCTGGGCTGGGCAGGGCTCTCTGCTTCACAGCAGGGCTGTCCCATCCCCTCTGCTCCCTGGCTGTAGCTCCAGCAGGGACTGCAGGCTGCTCACCCTTCTCCCCAACTCCCTGCTAAGCAGGAATTCCCCCCTCCCCTCTGCCTTGGGGACAGGTGTCTATGTATTAGCTAGCAGACCACATGCTGGCTATGGTCTGTGCTGAATCAACAGGCAGAATCAACAGGTAGCTGGTAATGTCCCTTTGTTATTTTCTTAATGTGATAATAAACACTGAGTTAAGGGTGATAAACACTGTTATCAATTCCCTGCTGGGCTAATCAGAGCCTCCTGCCTGGGCCTGGCCATACCCCCCCTCAGCTCAGTGCTATGGAAGGAAGGGAGGGCTGCTTTAGCATCACCCTCCTCCCCCCACCTGGCTTCTAGCCTAAGCCACTGCAGGCATGTGCCTGCATTTCTAGGATGCCTGTACAGTTACAAAGTTATTTAGACTAGCCAGGTTAGACTAACTTGAAAAGCTTGAATTAATTCAGGCTCAGGCTTTTTGAACGTCTGTCCCTAGCCCATATGCCCAAGCAAGATGGTATTGTACTGAGTGTTTGCACAGTGAAAGGAGAGCAAATTATCAATGAGATAGTGGACTCATGATGCTATTTTACTGACAGGTCAGTGTCAAGCAGGCAGGAAGAGATTAATTTCGAAACATCTGGGTGCAGATTTTAGTCCCATGAACCTGCTATTAGGCTTGATTGAACATCAGTTGAAATCAGTGAGTGTTTTCATTTATTTAATTGGAAGTTGAATAAGAATAATTTTTGACATCCGTTTGCAAATTCTAGAGCCCCCATTTATACAGGTAACAAAATAACGTGGGGTTGAATATGGTGGGGGAATGGGACAGGACTTTGGGTACAGGCCTTGTCAATGTAGTATATAAATAGTGGCATTCCATAATAGCTTCAGGAAGCCCCGAGTCTCAGCTACCTGCTCGAAATAAAACTTCTTTGCTGCTTGCCCCTTCTTTCACAGGGTTGCTGACTTGCTGTTGAAGTCTAAGGTGCCCGCCAACCCTGTATATGAAAGGTGGCGCTGACCTAGTTGGCACAGTACTATTCTGTGCTATTCCTGGCTGGAGCTAGAGCTATCACTTTCAAACGCATTCAGTTCACTCGTGGCTATAAAAGAGCAATTACCTAACATTTTACTTCTCTTACTGTATTATCTTTCTCAAGCCCCTTGTTTGCTCTGTCTCACCTTCATGTCCTCCTTTAACTGTGGGCCAGCTGCAAACTGTGTTTTGGCCTGGAACCTTGGAATGGGCCTTTAGTCGTGTTCATTACACCAGCAAGGGGTTTGGCCCTTATATGGATTCTATGTGCTGGGAGATTGTTTGGATTGAAATACTTTCTGTTTTCTTTTAAAGGTTTAGTAGTTTAAACATGCAACATGAAAGAATCTCAACTGATAAGTACAAGTGAAAGATAAAAGGTGTTCTTGGAAGAAACTTAAAAGAAACCTTTTTGGGTTTCTGAACCCACCGCTGACTGCTTTATACATCACCACCCGATAACAAGCAAGGGATTAGAAGTCTTGAGGGCTGTAGAACACTCCATTTTCACAGCAGATCAGCACAAAGTTATTTTGCACAGATGTTTCTGTAATTGTGATACACTGGGAAAATTCTCCATGTTCAAACTTCAATGGCTCCCAGACTCACACTTCCACTTGTGTGTTGTGGTGGTCCAGCCCTAATACTCTGGGCTGTAATGTAAACCATGTGGTAACATGTCTGGCTCAAACTTGTTAAGGTTTTTTTTTTCTCCTTCCTATGTTTTCCACACATCTTTAGATATGGGCCTTTGTTTCTATGTCTATGTTTTAAAAGATTTACAAAACAGGGGAAAACGAAGACCCAGAGCAGCTTATGGGATTACTTATGTAGGAAGGGCCTAAATGAAATCCATTCAGTTTGGTAGTGATCAGAACTTGTTATCCTGTGATGTCTTCAGTGACCTCTGTGGTGGTGCCAATTAAAGCTGGTGGGGCTACTTGTAGGGAACAACTTATTTAATTTAGTTGCTTCCTCCTCATGTTTGCAAATTATTTGTGAAGAGACTTTATGCTTTAAAAAATATAATTATTTTTGAACAAATAAAAGATGCAAATATATTTCGACTTATGGATATGGCTTGTGAGCTATTTATTACAGCTATTATCCTCTTATTGCAAGAACAACAATATCAAATGGCTCTTAGCACTTTTCCTCAGTAAATGTCAAAATACTTTACATTATAAGCCATTCATAATCAAATATTTGTTCTTTGTGATTGGCTACTCAAGCTGTATCATACAGCTTTTTAATGGATGATTTTTAACCCTATGTGAGCATGTTCTTCTAAGGCACACAACAAGATGTTATAGCTTCGTTTTCCCTCGTTTTGGTGTTAATCTCACCTGCAATGACTTTGATGGGAGTGATTAAAGGGGGACACCACGCAAGAGGAGTGCTCACTTAGTATTAGTAATGAGCATCAACATTGCCCACTCACAAGAAGTGCAACTTGGCTAGCTGCCAGCTATAGGTCCCTCAGCCGGCTCTCCCTACATGTTCCCAATTCACATATAAGTCCCACAATAAACACTCACTGGGTGGGTGTTTGCAAGCCCACCCCGCTTATCAATTCACAGCAGTAACGTCCCTGTCACAGATCCAGATGGAACTGCAATCGTCCGGATGAATCAGCAACTCGTCTTCCAATGGGTTGGATGCCCAACACTCGCCGCTTCAACAAGAAGTTCTTGGCGAATCTCTCTCTCAACGAGAAGTTCTTGGCGAATCTTGCCTGTGCCTCTGTGCAGGCTGCTTGCTGTCTCTGGTGTCTAAAGCCTCAGCTCCTCTTCCCTTCTGGGGAAAAGCTGATTGCACCGACAGTCCTTTATACAATGTTTCCACACAGCTGTTGTCAATCTCTGGTTGTCTGCCACCAGCCGGGAAGACTTAATTGGGAATGAAGCCTTTAGTTATCTCAATCTGCTTGAGCATCTCATCACTGTCAGAAAGTAATGGACACTTTGCCAAAGTCCATAGTGGGTATTTAGCGTCCTGGATGAGCAAACAGTCAATATGTCACCCAGTTCCATGGGTCCGACAGAAAGTTCTCAACAAATTGGGTGCTTTTCCTGAACATTTCCATAATGGGCAGTGTCTCCCTGTTACACCCTACGAAGTGCTTTCAAGGTGGTTCACTATTTGTATTGCAAAGGGCTTTTACATATATATAATTGCATGAGTGTTAACATAACTATCTTTCTGTGAAACTTTTGATCTAAAAAGGCATCACCTGTACATATATTAGTAGAAAACAAACAAAGGGAAATTAAAAAATCCAATTAATTCAAATTTAAATGTTTTCCTCTCCTCCCAGTCCCAATTAAAGGTATATATATGGATGTACAGTATGGCTGCTTACAGACACACAAAAAACCCCAACAAAAACAAAACAAACCACACCTTCTCCCCCACCCCGCCCCCACATCTCTTTACTTTGAGTTCTGCATTCCCAGAAGAGGCATCATGTTAGTTGGACCTAGCTCACCCAACATCTGTATAGATTGGGCGCTTTATTGGGGCTTCTGTGATGCTTTTAGCTAATTGCTGATTGACCCAGCTTTAGAAAAAAGTGCCAAAAAGCCCCACTGAAGCGCCTGTTCTGTACAGACACTGCAGCATGGGTAGAAGTAACATACTGCTTCTTCTAGTAAAGCACATTTTGGTTTATTTGTCTTTTCCACATCTGTCAGCAGCCTATATTCATCGCTCCAGTTAGTCATCCTCTCTCCCATGGAATGGGTAACATTCACATTACACTACACATGGATCAGAGTTGCCAACCTAGACTTTTTTTTTTTACTGATAATCTGCAAATTTTAACTGATATAAAACTCTTTTAATGACAGATGTTTAACATGATGTAAATGTAGTCCTTCTGCCAGGTCCTGGGAAGCAGCAACTGGCACCATGCTGCTATACTTCAGGGGGCCCCCTACTCACTCAACACCCTGATATCTCCATCCACACCCTGCACCATGCTGATCCCCACAGCCCTAACTTGGTCCTGCTATCCCTATCCCAGTTGCGCTACTCTTCTCCCTGTTTTGCCCAGTGCCTCAGACTTTCCAGGACTGTGCAGCCCTGCCTATCTTGGAGGCAAGCAACTGATTGTAGGTCAACAGGATGCAGTAGCAGCATAAAGCTGAAGGGGGAAAAGGAGCTATGGGGGCATCTGTGGGCCACAAAACATGATGGAAAGCACCCTACAAGGCACTGAGCTTCACTACTGATTAGACACAAGATGGTGCTACTCTGCTCTGTCCATCAGCATTTGCATGCAGTCTCATTCCAGCAACTGATCTTCAATCAAGCTCATTATTTCTTAGGTTTTTTTTTTTTTTTTACAGCTAGTCTTTTTCTTTTTTTGATAGACAGTTGGTAACCCTGACAGACCTATGCAAAGTATACAGTTTCAATTAACTATAATAATGCTGGCTCCCTGTACATGCAGTTCTTGGCTTCCTACTCACATCCTCTAGTATGGCTGCCCAGTTTCAGTCATTCTACTCCTCTCCCTGACCTTGGGCTAGGCACCATTCAAGTTTGAAACAAATATAATTGCTAGATTAGTTTAAGTAAGAGTGTGCCCTTCAAGGCTTATAAAATTATGAATAACATTTTTGTTAAAATAGCGAATGATTCACGGACAATTTGAAAACAAAAGGTACAAGTGTATTGAATAACCTGTTCACAATGAATAGTGTGGCTAGCTCTAATTTACAGGCCTAGCGGATGATTGAACACAGCTGGTCAACCAATTTGCAAACCTTTTTTTGAATTATTCTTTTTGTAAAAATTTGACATTTTTAGAAAAACACACGGAATATGTTCAATTTAGAGAATTTAACTGCAATTTTTTTTCCACAAAAATGACATTTTGACAAAAAGTAAAACCATAACAATTAAAGATTTGTAATTAGAACTTTAATGGAA